TTTTCAAAAGTAAATGATATGATAGAATATATATTTTAATTTTTAGCAATGGTAGTATTAGGCTTCTTAAAAAAATTTAGAAAAATAATTTGATTCCTACTTGGCAATGCGTTGGCTTGTGTAATAGTCAATAGACCATTATCAAAGCCCTTTTCAATCTCAAGAAGGATACAACAAAGATGTCCATTTGCTTAATATCTATTTTAATTGTGGTTGAAGTAATAAATTCTATGGTGGTAAAAGATGTTGCAAATAGCACTATTTAAAGGATCCAATTTCCTACTATGGGCAACCAACAAGTTTTAGTACAATATGTAGATGATACATTCCTCACCCTTCTAACAGAAGAAACCTCAGTAAGATGTACATTCTTAATTTCTTCTATTTAGCATTGAAGTTGGTGTTGAATTGGCAAAAATCAAATGGATATTGGAAGTATAACCATACTCCTATTCAAACTACATAGACAAAATAAATGAAGATAATTTGGACAAATACTGAAGAAGTTAGTAAGCTATCAGAAGCTTCATTTAGGTCTTCTTTATATCATCAAATGTGGATATATTTTTGTACAAATACATATAAAAGATATTATCTTATTGATGTACAATTAAAGTCAATGCAATCGATAGAAGCATAGTGGTTAATTGTATTTTATAATTAGCATTATTTTACTTTTTATCCATTTGGAGAGGTACTAAATGTGAAATCATAAGAATCAAAGCAGCTTTAGGAAATCATTTTATAGTTGATTCATTCTAATGATTACATACAAAGATGTGATGGATTCAAAGTTGTAATTAAAAATACAAAAGTCAAATGGACTCAAAGTTGTTAATCAAAATTCAAAGATCAAATGGATTCAAAGTTACCAACTAAAATACAAAGGTGGAATTTACTTGATCTATTTTAGAGACGCAATGACTATCTTATTAACAAAATAGATCATCAAAGCAATAGAACTTTTATAGATCAATCTATATCACATGTTTGAATTTTGGCTAAGCAATGTTCAACCTCATCAAATAAAGAAGTGGCATCACATCTCAAAATATTTCATCACCTTCCACTATAAAAGTAAAACTAGATCTTTGGTGTGGAATTGAGTTGTCAAGGCCCTTAAATGAAGCACTCTTAGAAGAATAATATTCATTACCAATTTGCTAAAAAAAACTCATGTGTACTAATTTTTGGCATTTCCTTAAGGAAGAGTGCACTAAATTGGGCTTTTTGAAGAATTGGGCAACCGCATTACATAGAACAAGGTTACGCTATCATATTGTAATTGATTACAATATGTAAAAATTAACTAGAATATATAATATGTTCATAAGTCTTGGTATGTATTAGAATGGTTAATAGGTTAATTTAAAGAGAGTAGATATAAGAAATTTTATTTATTTTAATTATGGCATTTAGAAAATTATAGGACCTAAATATTTAGTATGAAGCCTTGGGAGAAGATGGAAGCCTAAGAATGAAAATCTAAACTAGTAGGAGGTTAATTGGGAGGGATAAAAGCAAGGCATGGTCCGATGAAGGCAAGGAATGGAGAACTTCATCCCTATTGATCAAATACCATGCCTAATGGACTTTGAGGAAGCTACTTGTGACCTTAATAACTGTTTTGGGTACTTCAAAGAAGGCATTCGGAAATAAGAAGCTAAGATTATAAAGTTTAAGATTTGGAATGCAAATTGTGTATAAAAATTAGAAAATTTGGAGTTAAACTAAATAACATATAGCCGTTTGAAATTAAGGTATTAATTTAAGATATATTGTTATTCTTTTGACAATACAAGGAGTTGTACAATAAGTTTTGAGGATCAAAAGATGCAATTAAAATAGCAATTTCAAAGCCTACATGTTTCATGAAAGAATTATTGCTTTTGAAATTCATGTGAAGGAGTTATAGGGAGTTGAAGGCGGCACTTCTAAATCAAAGGTAGTAATTATTGGTTTTGTTTATAGTAATGGTTTGAGCCATAACTTGAAATTTTGGACAAATTATTGGATCAAATATTTTGAAAAATATAACATTTTGTGTTAAAGAGCTATATATATAAATTTTGTGGTATTTAAGCTTATATTTTGTGAGATATGAAGAAGGTTGCATGCAGGTGTATGAAGACAAGGGTTTAAAGTGACTATTAGGATTTTCAAGATATCTCAAGGTCTGCAATGAATTTGCAATTGAAATTTATTGTAGAAGTTAATAACAATATATAAATACATCATATAAAATTTGAATTTGTTTGAACAATCGGATTAGGAAATAGAAGGCATTGAAGTTTGGAAAAATTTCCACGTAAGGATATACAAGGTTTTAGAGGATTTTATCATATTTTGGATGTTGTTGGTTACTTGAGACTTGTATATTTGGTGTAATTGCTCAAAAAGGGAAATTTTATATATAAACTTAGGGCTTCTCTTATTTTGAAGCTTGATTGAAGAATTAGTGATAGCTAGAAGCCTAATATTTTCTTGAGGCAAATTCTCTCTGTCTCGACAATGCAAATACAAAGAAGTGCTCTGGGAGACTAACTTCTTATCTTATATTGAGGTACACAACAAGTTCAGACTACGGGAGCAGAAAGCTAGTGCATGGTCAGCACTCACCAATGCCATATACCAAAAATGGCTAGCAATGTTGTATCTTAACTACTGCCAACTGAACCTATGAGAGTAGGTGGATTTATTTGACAAAGCAGACTTAGAGATTCCATTGATTAAAATATGACAAACAATACCTGAACAAAGCTTGGTAGTAGGTTTTCTTAACCACCTTCTATTAATGCAATGCAAAGTCTTTACAACTAATCTAAATTCTAGTTAGTTGACGCCAATCTCCTTTGTACTTCAACAAAGTGGTTATATGGAGGTAGACATACAAAATAGAGATGAAATGTAGATTATAGGCCAACTTCATAGAATTCAAAATAGATATGAAATGTAGATTGTAGGCTAACTATATAGAATCTAGGTGGTCAAAAAAAAAAGGAGGGGCAAAAAAAATGAGAAGATTCTATTATACTACGGGCACGTCGATAGGTTGGAGTGAGATCCCAAAAAGTACAAGTTGGAACATAAACGTCCCTTTTATGAACTATACATCAGCACACGATCGAGCTTTACTAATAAAACGTCACAAAATCCTTTCAACGACCCAGACAAAGTGGATGGAGATTTTATCCCGAAATTTCAGCACACGATCGAGCTTTACTGATAAAACGTCACTAAATCCTTTCAACGACCCAGACAAAGTGGATGGAGATTTTATCCCGAAATTTCAAGCTCAAGTGGAGGAATGTCTAGGACTCGGAGAGGATCACGAAGGAGGCCGGATTACTTTAGCTAATATGGCATCGGGCAATCTCGGTTAATGCATGGCAGGGACTAATTGATGGGCAGGTGGACCAAAGCTGTGCTGTTTTCTTGACCGACACTCGGGAGATGATTCTTCACTGCTTTTGGGAGTGCTTGTCAGTCCAAAGAGCATAGAAACACGGTATTCACGGTATTCAAATTTTACCTCAGATCACACCACAACCCAATACTTCCCTCCATGGCAGACGTATGGATCTTGATTCCACGGCAGTAATAGGAGGCCATAGGAGGAGTAACAACAACACCAGGAGAACGGGAACATTCAGTTGTGTCAACCCTAGGGGCTAGCTTGCCAGACAAGACACAAGATTCACACACTTTCTACCTAGCTGGAAGAATTGTAACTTTGCATAAAAAAACACCACGTCGACTACGCAAAATCAGTCGAATATGATTGCTACTAAGAGGAACAATCTCATGGTTGTTATGGATAGAACAAAATGGCGTTGTCTTTAACGAAATCCATTGACATCCTCAGAAAATGCATAATAGGATTTGGTTGAACTTGATAGATTACAGTCGTGTAGCCTGGTTACACACAGAGTGAAAATGTGCCAGGTATCCGGAGAGTTGAGATAACCGGTTAGAGGAATTCAAGCACCAATGGTGCACCAACAACGTACTGGCCTCGTGGATACGAGATAGACCTCACTGGAACCTAGTTGAGCTTAGCCCAGATCAGTAAGAAACATTTTAAGTTAGAATTAGGGACCTTAATGACCTGGCCGGACCTGGCTGGGAATACTATATAACAATTTTTCTTCTGCAATAGAAAAAACCTCTATTTGTGTCAAAAAATAAAATAAAATAAAACAAAACAACGTCACACTGAGTCGTGGTTTCCGACATGAAACGCCCTGCCTGCCCGCCGACGGGTGTGGTTCTCGGCGCTGGCGAATGGAAAGCCCTTGATTGCACCCGCGTGGCATAGCTACCTGAAAGCCAAACGACGGCTTCCATTCAGCTCCGCAGTGGTTTTGCGGTTTCAGGATTGGGCAACGACATACCAGTTCAGATTGTTTGGAATGTCACATGAGACCTCTCTCAAGCTGCTATTCCAGGTCAATCGTACGTGACATTAGACTTGACCTCAGGAAATCGAACTTCCGGTGCTCGCTGTTCAAGAATAGCAACACCCGTCGCTGGGCGCCAGTAGTAATTTATGCTCCAGAAATGATCGTCATCGATCCTCGACAGTCCCGAATTCCCGAGACTTCTTCACTCTCAACCAACACCACCAGTTCCAGGATAAACATGGGATTGGAACTGCCACAATGCCTGCGAAGCTATCCTCCAGAATTCACAGCCCTTGACAACTTACCGCACGTAATCGTGTGGGCTGCTGAACGCTACGCATACACAGTGAGCCGAGAAAAGGAAATGCTCGCGGGATGCCCGAAACACCACGGTTTCATATGCGTCATCCAACAGCCGCAAGCAAGTCCTTCCTCCTTCCGCGCGTCCCCACAAGTTCTCGAACCATCCTTGAACGAGCTCAAGTCCGAGATATGCGGGCCCTTCACGAGCCTGTCAGAGTTCCGCGGCATTGTCGAGCATGCATTCTGGAGTGCATGTGATATCCTGATCTCTCTGTGATACCGGAGCGATGCCGCGCGACTTGGCGCAGCTCGAGGCCTCACCATCTCGGTACATAACCCCTCCCCCTACCCACAACCAGGTGAGCGACCACCTCCAAGATCAGCAGTCGCTTCTGCTCGCTTCCGCATATCTGCTCCTTCTCCGTATCAGCCGTGATTCGATCACGCACCATGGCCAAGCTTTTGTTTCTCGTTGCTGTTCTCGTCGTGGCAGCAGCCGTGGCGGCTGATGCTCACGTATCACCTCTTCCTCCCCCCCCACCCAAGGCTGCTGCGCCTGCTCCGGTTCCCGCTCCTAGTCGCAGCCCCATCGTGAAGAAGGTTTCGACCTTCTCTCTGAAGTGCGTCATTCACAACGTGGCGACGAGGGCCATATCGGTGAAGCTGATCGTTCGGGGCAAGGATGCGGCGAAGGCTGTGGTGGCAAAGGCTGGGCAGTGGACCGCCATCGGGCCCGTGAAGGTGGAGTGCTCCGTTCCGGTGGTGCACGTGTGGGTGTCAGTGAAGAACAACAAGGGCTTGACTGTGACGAAGACCTTCCCGATCAAGTTGGCCGAGTTTCTGAAGAACATCGTGCCCAAGTGCTCGAAGGTGCTGGCGTTGACGGCATTTGAGAAGGGGAAGGGGAGTGAGAAGAGTCTGGTGGTGAAGGTCGGCAAGAAGGAGGTGCTCACCGTGAAGTACTAGATCCCAGTCAAGTCAAGGTACGTGCGCGAGATGACGATGCATTGCATGGCATTTGGCGGAGTTTGGGGTTTCGGGAGGCTGGTGAAGAGTAGTGCGTATGAGTTGGTTGTGATCGAACATTACCGGGGAAAGCTCACGTTGGCTTGCATTGAATTTCCTGGTACGGTGCGCAGGATTGTGGACCTATTCGAGTCGCTGCAATCGGGCTATGAGAATCAGGACATGCTGTCCAGTTGGGGAGTTGATCCGAGGGGGATGGATGCTGCTACCACCCAAAGTCTTGGTTAAGAGATGTTGTTTGAGCACTGCCGGATGCACATTGCATGAATTGTAGAAGTAGATAATTACAGCTGCGTCGGAAGCGACTCAGTTCGAGACGTCGAGGACGTCGACATCTTGAGATTTGATCGAGCACCAGTTCGATAGTCATCATAATGTGCATTAGTTGGGGCTCGCGTTCATTCTTGCGACGCTGAATGCCACAACCTGCAAACTTATTGGACCTTATTGGTCATATGCGTGGTGTGTATTGTTTCCTGAGGAGTTGGCTGTGTGCCGATCTGATTACAAGTCATCTCTTTTCAAACGTGCAATGAAGTTGTATGGACAACCGCCTGAAGTTGTGAGTGCTAGAAATGGAAGCAATGCGGTTCATTATTTACTGATTTGACCCGTCTCACTTTCTAGTTCCTTAGACTTGACGCACTGATGCACTCTCTACCTTGAAGTTGGTGATTTCGTTCTAGGTTTAATCAAGCTCATCTGGAAAGGTGAATGACCCTTGGCTGATTTCCTCGAGAGCCTTGAGAGCTTGGTTTACAGTTATTTACTGATCTTATACGATGTTTTGTTCGGCTATGAGTGGTTTGTGTGTTAACAAAAACAAATTCAACAAAAAGGAGATAGAAAACATATAGAATAGTCTTACAGGATTGGTTTAAATTGTATAATTATATCCGAAAAGATGACAATGGATGTTGAATTCCAGAGTGAAAGACGAATTTTATGTACAAACAAACAGATAAACCCAAAAGAATTTTACGGGTCTTGTAACTCTACATGACAAGACAACAAGAGGTGGTGGTTGTAATTAATTTCATGATATTAAGTGTGTTTGTACTAAACTGCAAAATGCATGACAAGAAGGGAATAAACAAAATCCGGTGGTGATATTGACCTCGTGCTGCTTAGGTTGGCTGGCGAGAGGACTCAAAACTCACAAAACTACCCTTGCCAAAGCGGTCTATGGCATTCTGTCATTTCCATAACTTGTAGCAGCTTGTCTTACCGAGCCCAACCAAATAAGGCTCTGTCGCTGAAAAACGGACAAGAAGGTGTCAACCGAGGGTGACGACACAACACTGACAAGATTAAAAAAATCTAGAAGGGATGCCAAGAAGGGTGTGAGGTGTCTACAAGGGACTGCTGCGAGTTCCCTTCTAGGCTGAGTTCTATGTACGGATTTTTGAGCTTTGGGATTTCCGCTCAAGTTCTTGTGGTTAAAGACGATGGTGTTGCTGTTATTTTTCCTGCTAGAGGCCAATGCACACCGCATGATTGGATTTTTGGGCGATTGGTGTTGCCCTATTATTATCCAACTTTTGTTTGTTCTGGTGTCCATATCGTTGTCGTTGATAGCCTTTGGTTGCTTCTTGTTATCTTGCAGTGTGCTATAAGTAGCCGTACTCTGATACTTGCTTGGATCTGTATTGTTTTGCTCTTGTGAGTTGATCTGCCGCCGTTTACTAATTCATTGAGTTCAACGTCGTCTTGAATGCTTCACAGTTGAAAGGGCACAAAGACTGTCGTGTAATGAGAATATTCAAGAACTCAATGCATATGGAATTCAAATTCCTGAAGGCTAACAGTTACACGTGCAATTTCTAAGTTCATTTAAAATTGATTAGTGTCATCGGGAGCAACTGTGCCACTACTCTCATCACCTGGTCTCAGTGACGCTGTCCTACAAATTCTCAACAATATACAACTACAAAGCAATTGCATGGCTGTTCTTTCTTCGACAGGCTACTACTCCCTTGTAGTGATTCCTCATCAAAATCTAGCAACTCCATTGAATGAGGATACAAGAAAAACTACACGACCCATTTTTAAGCTCCATTGCACGCCGACATGGTTCTAAGTGTACCAGAGTTGGACGGTACTGGTGTTTGATACAAAAGCCAGATAGATTGCAAGCCCACTTCATCTTTTGCTCCCCATGTCAAAAGGAGACGATTCGATTACTGGGCCCTTCCTCCTGTTCCTAATTAAAGTACCTAACCTCATAGCACTCAATAAAAGCGCCCACATCCTCTACTCATCAAATACTAGTAGAGCTTTGAATGTGTGGCACCATTCACTGGTGGATAACGGACAATATCATCTGGAATTGCATTCAAATCAAGGCCTTTTGCGGCAGCATCAAAGTGGTGGAAAAAAGATGGATTAGTGTCCCAATTATTATTTAGCTCCCCTGGCCGTGCAATCTTCTGCCTGCGTCACAGTAGTAAACAATGGCAGTGTCAGACTCAAATGCGTACAGTGGAATATACAAATACATAGCAAACTTGAAAGGAATCTCTAGCATTGAATGAGCATGAGAAGATATATTAATATTTCGTTAACACCATTTCACGGAAGAATTACCATTCTTGGTCCTCAATCATGTCATCAGTCATGCCAAAAGCTCTCAGCTCGTCTGCTGAATGATGCATTGTCAGGCTATACCTGAATTTGCAAAAGTTCATGATGATAAATACAGCGGTCATGCAAAATAATGGTCAATCATTCAAGTTCCAGTATAGGAGAATCAGAAAGAGCAATGAACTTGCATTAACTAGATACTAGAATCATCCGTACTCTAAACCACTCGGTTTTTGTGGAAGTCATCTGATGTATGCTTTCTTGTCTTATTTGCAAACTGGCGCTTTAGTATGTGAGAACAGTTGCATAGACATGATCGATTCGAAAGAAGTATACCAGATACAGAAGTAGTCCTCTGACTATGGATGGAACAAGCTCGTTTAAAGTATTAACTCACCTGCCCCCGGGTCCAAGCTCCATGACTAGCATCTCTGTATTTCCAAAATTGTATAGGCCCTCAAATTGCTGCACGGTCCACTTGTACCAACGCATCAAAAATACTCGAAGTGTAAGACCATGAGACACAAGAACTAGGTTCATGTTCTTGGAGCGTGACTCTGGCCGCTGAAAGCGACCTACATCAATGTCTGCTCTCAAGGTTTCTCTAAAACCTGCAAATTGCTTCATGAAAATCCAGTAGAATATCAGTTGGGCTCAGATTCTCAGAAAGACAAGGGCAGTCAAACTCCACCATGAATAGGTTTGAATGCAGAACAATGAATTATCACTTCAAAGTAAAACTGGTTAGGATGCCGGGAGTTGCCTGTGATGCGGTCATAGACATCTGCAGCCGATTCACCATTGGGAAAGCGGTAGAAAAATCGGCCGTAACGAAGACGAATAGCTTTTTCCACCCTCATTCGCTCCCTATCCTGGAAGTTACCTGCGCAACGACAGTCCTTATTAGTCAATGCGTTTCAAACAGAGTGGGAAGTGAAACAAGTGACTGTAAAAATGTAGCACATTAAAAGCCCAGGCAAGACGAAACTGTCGGCAAGATGATAGCCGGAGGCACCCACCAAAGTCCTGCTCCCGTAAACGAGGCTCTTCCCTGACTCCTGCTATGCGCTCTCGATCAAAGGCAATCCCAATTCCACGCAAGGTCTGCAACGTCCGGTTGTACGGTGACACATAGAAGTAAACTTTCCAATCGTCACTATGATCACCCTCAATCAGCTCGCGAATGTCGTGCCCACACTTCAGTGCTTGTTTCCAGCCCTTTTCCGTCAGGCAAATTTTCGAGTCAGGAATTTGTGTGTAAGCAGTTTCGTCAACATTCCCTAAACTTTCCCCATGGCGAACGAGAATGATTCTCCGGGGTCGAGGCGGCATTCCTATACCAAAACACCAATTTGTAAGCTGCTTGCGAGAAGGTTGAACTTAGTGTGAACTAACCGATTCTCTCCCAACTCCTAAAACTACCCTCTACCAGAGAGCATTTTGGGTTGCGAAATAGCTAAAGAAAATCCACAAGAACAACTATCTGCATCCAATCGGGTCCATGTATAGCAAGATGGAGGCACCATACCGTATTATCACCTAAAAAAGAAAACAGACTTCCAAGTCCCAGCTTAATTTTATGGTACTGGCGATTAACACATTAAACTATACACTTCAAGAAAATTAACTAAGCCATAGATTTCAAAGTTAGATTCGGTTCCCTCTGCTTCTCAACAAATTCACAGTTACCAGCACTCCGAGACACATCCACCATCCAATCTAAGTAATCAACATGAATGCAGTCTCCTGATGTTTGGACGAAAGATAGAAACAATCGAGCGAGATGAAGCGAACCAGATGAAGCGGATTGTATATTGCATATACCATTATGCTCAGAGAAAAGAGAAGCAATCGTCGATTCTGAGAACTCCACTGGCCTGCCCCTCTGTATGACTTCCTGTGTGTTGTATCCTTCGATTAGCCTCTTGACACCCTTATTGCGCCAATTTAACGAAGGGATTGAGTATGATTGATACTGCAAAGGATTGAAAGGTGCTTGGCTAGATGCTCGGGATATCAAGGAAGACGAATCAAATGACTTCTTCATCAAATTGAAATTTCCAGTTCTGCGAAGACACCATCCGTTAACTGAATGGTGCACCGACACATTCCGAAATTTGTTTGCTTCCGTAACCCCCGCGCATGGGTCATGAATGCCTGAACCCGTGACTATCATTAAGCCGGACACCTTTTTGCCAGCTAATACTGGCAGCATCACCTGCCCAAGTACCATCTTCAGATTTTCGCATGGGCCAAAGAAGGAAGTTTGCTAAACAGAATGTAAACCCCTTCCGCTGCTCTACAATTCGCAACGCATAAATTTATCCCTCTGCTCCTTCTCGCTCCCCTCATGACCATCTCCGACAACACCACCATCTCTCCAACCAAGACCGTGACAGTTACTCTTCAACCCAGTGCGAGCGCGGCTGGTTGAAACCCTCTCCACTAATCCAGTCACATTTTCTTAGCTAAGAACTCCTCAAGTTCAAACCTCAACCTCCACACCATAGCCTACTCGATTCGCAAAACCTCGACCCCCTTCACAACACACACGCTCACTCACACTTCCCCAGCTCCGCACAAAATCCTTGTCGCCGCTTCAACACTTCCTAATAATCAACAGCCCCCAGAAAACGCGCCCGTCATCACGCCCATCCTCCAACTTCCGTCTCCTCCCTAAAATTCCATGCATATCCTCTTCAAACTCGCATTCTACAACATCGTCACCGTTTACCAACCGCCCACACTGACCACGCGCCAAGCCCAGGCCTCATGGGTGCAGCTTTTGAGTAGACGAAATCTGGGCAAAGACCCAAACTCAATCACGCTAGCTGACGATCCATACCCAAAATCCCAACGAGCTCAAATGTATGCTCCGATGTGATGAGTCCGTCGCGATCAAGCCAACAAAACTCTAAAATGACGCGAATACTGTACAATAAGTCTAAAAAAATAAGATAAAAGTAAAAAATCTACAACAACAACAACAACAACAGCAGTAGCAACAACATCGTCTAAAATGACGCGAATACTGTACAATAATTCCAAAAAAATAAGATAAAAAGTAAATCGTCAACAACATCGTCAAGGCGACTCAAGACGGCGAAGACAACCAACCACAGCCCACGGTGGCCCCACATTCTTCTCCGCCGCTGACGACCGTCCGTCTATCGACGCATATTCAAGATTTGTTCGTCGTCGTCTGACGCCGTTTTAGGTGCCGATCCTGCACCGTCACTTTTGCGACGTAGTTTGTGGCTGCTATGCAGCGATGGCTGCGTGTGGTTCAGTGGCTTCTTCATGGGGGAATGGGTTCAATGTACTTGTACTTGTTACAATTTTACAAACTTGCACCGACTTTCTCATTTTCTTCTGATGTGGTATGAAATGACTTGTATTATGTAATTTTTTGCGTAAAAAACTTCTATTATGAAACGATGTGGGTATCCCTTTAAAATATCTGAGTATACATAGATTTTATTTATGAGTACACAGATCATACACAGATAACGTATACATAGATTTTTGCATATAAAATATAGAAAAAAATTGAATTACGATATTGGATAAGCTATTGTTGTACAATTTTGAAAGATATATTTTTTTTAATGAGGTACATTATTTTTGTGCAAAATTTCAACAATTGAGTTGTATTAGAGATGTAGCAAGTAAGTATTTAAAATAAAAGAATGTATAAAATATAATAATAATTATAATCATAGCAACTCTAAAGTGAACTTGCTTGAGAAAGGTTAAATCAACAATTAATGTTGATTTCAATGTTCAAAGATGAAAATGCTTTGGCTTCATGAAAATTATTCCTTGTTGGTCAAAAGATATGTTTCTTTCTTTTGGTGCAAAATAAGAATGTCTAGAAAAAGGGCATCTAAGAAACATTGTTGTTTTTTGGTTCAATAAGTAATCTTAAAATCAAATCTTAATAAAGACATGCTCCAATAGGCTTGGAAACAATTCAAAACATGTGCCCATATGAAGTACTCAAGATTATTATCACATATATATAGTGACTAGACTAGAAGCGCCTTTTAGATAATGAAACCATTCTTGAAATGAATCAATGATTGCAAGAAGCTCTTTGTTATGGATCTTATAGTTAATTTTGACTGCTGAAAATTTCCAAGAAAGGAAAGCTATTAGGTGAAGTTTATTGTGAATCATTAAATTAATTCATGTATTGTATTAGAACAAAAACTTGTAATAGAAGGGTCAATTGTCAAGTGTTAATTGAAGAGGGGTGGAAAAAATATTGAATATAAACAAAATAGAGTTAGTGGATAAAACATAACTATATGTAGAAATTCTAGTAGGAAATTAAGTATGAAGCATCTTGGAGAACATCAATTGAATATCTTTTGGCATCTCTATAGCATCTTGAAAGAATCTAACATATTCAAACTTTAGTAGTACAGGACTCATATACGGTATGGATATTATAGGGATATAGATAGGAATATGGGTATGGAATTGTATATAAGTTCTTATATAGTCTAGATATAGTAGAGCCATTGCAAATAATACAGTATATGTGTCCTAAATATAGAAATTATATAGGTCAAAATACAATAGTATATGGTTTAGGATATATACCATACATGATATAGTAGACTTTAGATCCTTATATTCTATACGTATGAAAGACGGTATACAATATATTACACACAAAATACAATACGGCAATATTTGGTATAGTGATAGGTTGATATCGGGCCCTTAAGTTGGTCGGGTAGGAAGTTGGCAGGATATCGAGGAAACCGGGTGTAAGCTGGTTATCAAATAGAGGGGTTCAGACGGAGTAGCCGGTGGATGAGGCTGAGCAGCGTCTCTCATCTCCGACAGGAATCCGAGCCGCCCTGAATCCCCTCTCTCCTTGTTTTTTTTGTTTTAGTTGTTCAGAAGCGCTTGAGCTCCAAACGCTCCGGGCCCTCCTTGTTTTTTCCGATCTGTTAGAGTGCTACGGTGCAGCACTTTGGTGTTCCCTTCTTCTTCCTTGTTTTGAATTGGCGTGAGGAGTCCGGCTCCGACGGCTACGGCTTCTTTCTCTCTGTGTTTTCTTCCAATATCGTATGGCTGCGGTCTTGGAGTTGGCGGCGCTGGTCATCTTCGGTGGCATTTCCAGTTGCAGATCAGCAATGGCTTGAATCTTTTACTTTTGTTGTGTTGCTTTTGGTTTTAGCCGGATCCAATGCGGAAGTGCCGAAGAATTTATTTTCTTTTTCTCTTTTGTTGATGACCGACAATTGAGTCGGGTGCTCGTTCAACTGTCAGCCTTGTTGCTGGTCTTGGTTGGAGGATTGAATTTCAGCTGTCTACAACCAACAACAGCTGCATTGTTCAAGGAAGCAAATTCAAACCTTTGCCCCCTCTTTTACCTCCAACTCCTCTTGTGCTCCCACTAGCATCTGCTGAAGGATCTACAGAATTGATTCAATGGCTAGTGGGAAGGCTTGTTGCTAGATCCTGTAGTGCTGCGTCGAATCGCTGGCGGGTCAGTCGGAAGACGGCTCCCATCACGCGTGGAAGATATTTCTCCGAGCGAAAGCGCTGTGTGGCGGCTTCAACAACGAAAGATTGGTGCTAGCAGCGGCGTTCCCCTCTTTTGCTTGGACTGTAGTAGGCGGTGAAGTTCACATTGCGGTGTTGACAGAAGTGTTGAAAACGTCATTATTATTAATATGATCAATTGATACACAATAAATATATATATATATATATATATATTGTGTGTACCACTGTGACACCAAGAGTCACAACTCTTGGTGTAAGGTCAATATAGAGTAGATAGTATTCTACACATGAGACTAGTGTACTATATAGTATAATTCTCCCAATACTCCTATTAGTACACTAATTTTCATCCTCAAATTGGATTTCATCTATTATGAGAAATATGTATGAGAAATATAGGGTTTTAATCTCCTTTTTGGGTATTGCATTGATGTAGAGCTCTCTTGTAGCTCTCCCACTGCTTCTTCAAATCTAAGAAGGTATGTATTTCTTTGTTGATTTTGAACTATTATTAGATTGTGTTTCATGATTGCTTTGCGTACACTCCCTTTTTGTTGCGAAGTTATTTTTGCTGTCGTTGTTGGAGGCACTGTTGCTATTGAAGATTATTGCTGCCGTGAAGATCAGCTCCGTCGCTTGTATATACATTGATGGGGGTCGGCTGTCAATGTAGGCGCCTTGATGGGCTTTGCGATGGGGTTGACCATCAATGCGAGGTCGGCCATGGCGGGCTCCGTTATTGTAGTGGAGTCAATTATGGCGGAGTTGATCGTGGCGAGCTTAGCTGCTGTTGTGGCAAACTCCGCTATTACAGTAGAGTTGCCAGCCGATGCAAGATCGATCGTGGCGAGCTCCGCTACTGTTGTAGCATACTTCGCTGTTGTAATGGAGTCGCCAGCCGATGCGAGATCGGCCATGGCCGGCTTCACTACTATTGTGGCGGGCTTTGCTTTTGTAGTGGAGTCGTCAACCGATGCGAGATCGGCCATGGAGGAGTCCGTTGCTGTTATGGCGGGCTCCACTGTTGTAATGGTGTCAATCTGTGTATTTTGATATTTCATGGATTTGGAATGAGGTGGCTTACTGTGTATTCTCCCACTCCATGATGTATCAAAATATGGTTGTTGTAGAAGGTCTGGTGATTTTGAGTAGACCAACAATGCTTGAATTGTTGTAGAATAGGTTTTTTATTTTGAATTGAGAAGAATAGGATACATGCCTAGTTGAAAAAGGCACTGAAAATGTTTCTCTTTGAAAAGAGATTTTGTAAATACATTTGGTGTCATATATGTGGTTGGCACATATTGTAATTTAATTTCCTTGGCAAGTATCTTTTCTCTTGTGAAATGGTATTGTGTGTCTACATGTTTGCTTCTGGAGTGATATTTTGGATTTTCACTAAGAGCAATTGTACTTTGACTGTTTGAATATATGGTGGTTGGTACATGTTGAGGGAATCCAAATTCATGTAATAATTTTTTCAACCATATAGCTTCAATGGTTGCTTTAGTTAAAGCCATATATTCTAATTTTGTAGATGACAAAGCAACAGATTGTTGTTGCTTGTTGCCTCAAGAGATAACTTCTCTAGCTAGTAAGTAGCAAAAGCCAGAGGTAGAGCGACAGGTGTCCTTATTACATGCCCAGTCAACATCAAAATAACCATGGAGAATATCACCTTGAGGTAAGTGTTGATATTTTATTCCAAAGGATAATTTGCCTTTTATATATTTCATAGTTCTTTTCAAAGTTTGAATATGTGTAGGTCCTGGTTTAGAGAGATATTGTGCTAAATTGCTGATAATATAAGCACAATCGGATCTAAAATTAATAATGGCATGTATCAAATTGCCAACAACTTGAGAATAGGAGTAATCAGATAAAGTAATAGGGTCTTCATTACTTAAACGAATTCCTGGCTGAATTGGGGTACTTAATGGATTGGAATTCAACATATTGAATTCATTAAGTTTATTTGTTAAGTATTTGGCTTGATGGAGGATGATCCATCATTCTTTTCAATTTCTTAATATGGCATTGTGTAAAGTATAATGGATTTCTCCTTCATTGGACATCTCAAATTCTTGTTGGAGAATATCTTTGACTTGCTGAATTAAAAGAAGCTTATTGCTGACAAGAATACAGTCATCAACATAGACTGTAATTATGGTAAAAACTTGATTATGTTCTCTTTTGATGTATATGTTTGCATCTGATTCGAGATGTTGGTATTTATGAAGGATTATGTATTGATCTAATCGTTGATACCATGCTCTAAATGATTGTTTAAGACCATATAGGGATTTATTTAATTTACATATCTTATTAGTATGTATAGAAGGTAATCCTTCAGGAATAGTCATATAGATGTCTTCTTCTATAAAACCATTTAAAAAAGCTGTTTTAACATCTAGTTGATGTATTTCCAGATTATGTTGAGCGGTTAAAGTAAGAAGAACTTTGATAGAGTTAAGTTTGACTACAAGAGAGTATGTCTCTATGTAATCAATACCTTGAACTTGGGTGAAACCTCTAACAATTAGCCTTACTTTATATGTGTCAACACTTCCATCAACTTTAGTTTTGATTTTAAAAATCCACTTTGAACTGATTGGTTTTCGATTAGGAGGTAAATTTATCATGTGCCATATATTGTTCTTATTTAAGGATGTAATTTCAGCATTGATTGCTTATTGCCATTCTTGAGCATCAACCCTCTCTATTGCTTCTTGAATGGAGTTTGGAGCTTCTAGGTGAGTAGAAACAAGGTGGGCTTGGTGATGTCAATTACATTGTCGTTTATATTCTTTTCTACCTTATATAGACTCCAACAATCTTGTGGTTGGTTGAATAATTCTTGTTAGTTTAGAACTAGTAGAAAGATTTGGAGCCTTCAATATGGAATGTACTTCATCATCTGCAAGAAGTAAGATCTCTTGATCATTTTGTAATAATAGTTGAAAGAAGTCTTCTATGACATCAATGTAAAAAGAGGATTGTTCTCCCACATTTGAAGGAATACTATGTATTGGTGATTGATCAAATACATGTGTTTCTTGTGGTAGTAACATTGATGTGGGAGACATGCCTTGAACAGAAGGGAGGATTTTCTCATTGGTCCTTTTAGTTATTAAAGGGTGTTTTAATAATTCTAAATCTAGTAAGAGTTCTTCATTGTCATTATGCAAGTATGGGATTGTTTGTGGATCATGTAGATTCTCATTGAAGAGAACATCTCTTGAAATAAGAATTTACTGACTTTGCATATTCATAAGTCTATAGGCTTTAGATTCTTCACTATAGCCTAGAAAGATAGCCTCTTGTGAATGAGAGTCTAACTTCTTTCTTGTTTCTTTAGGAATGAATACATAAGCTTTGCAACCAAATATTTTAAGCTAGGATAAATTTGGTTGTCATTTGTACCATAATTCAAATGGTATTTTGGTAACTTATAGAGATTTTGTAGGGCTCCTATTTTGGAGGTAATTTGCTATTTGGAGTGCTTTACCTCAAAAAATTTTAGGTAAGTTTGAATAGGATAGCATTGCAAGTACTGTTCCTATTAATGTTCTATTTTTTCTTTCAAAAATACCATTTTATTGTGGTGTATAAGCTATAATATATTCTTGTTTAATGCCTTCTTTATTACAAAAATCTTTAAAATCATTGGATGTATATTCACCTCCACGATTAGATCTTAACATTTTAATTTTGAAACTTATTTGTTTTTCTACAAAATTTTTGTATAAGGTGAATTTCTCAAATGCTTCAAATTTGTGTTTCATCAAATACACTTGGTAATATCTTGTTAGATCATCAATAAATGTGATGAAGTAAGTACATCTTGAATGTGTGCCTACTTGCATAGGTCCACAAATATCAAAGTGTATAAGTTCTAACAATTTGGTAGTTCTTTGTGCACCTTGTGTAGGAAACTTTTCTTTATGTTGTTTACCTTCTATGCAAGGTTGGCATAAGGTAATTTTTCTTTCATCAAAGGGATCAATCCCCTTTGCCATGGTTTGTATTTGTTTGAGTCTTTGAGGATTTATATGTCCTAGTCTTAAGTGCCAAAAATCAACTTTATTTAATTGTGTTGTTGCTGGAATAACAATTTGAGGCTTGTTTGAAAGTATAGTTGTACCTAATTCATATAAATCAGGGTTTAATTTGCATATTGCAATGGTTTGACCAAATTTATTTATAAGTGTAGTGGTACCAGCTCTTATGCAAATTTCTCCTCCTGCATTATCTAATTGTTTGGGAGAGAATAAATTCTTTGTAAGTCCAGGTATATGTAATACATCAGGTATGATCTTCTCATCACCATTTGTAAGTTTGATATTTACATCACCATGTCCTTATATTATATATGATGTAGTATCATCTCCTAAGTAGACAACTTGTTTGTCTTCATGTTTGATGTATTTAACAAATCCTTCTAACTCATGACACATATATTGAATTGCTCTCGAGTCCACATACCACATTGAATTTGGATTTTCTTTAACTATAAGTGTTGCCACATATAGTTTATTTGTTTTGGTAATAACATTTATTTCTTTTCTATTATTAAAAATTTTAATTGCTATTCTTGTTCTACAATCTTTGATCAAGTGACCTCTTTTCTTGCAAGAAAAATATTTCCTAATAGCAAAATTACTCTTTTCATGTAGTTTGGAGGTACTACTCTCTCCTTGTGAACTCCTCCTAAAATTCTTATTATTATTCTGAAATTTCTTACCTGCATACAAGGTTGAATTATTATCAGATGTTAAATTCATGTTTTTCATGAGTGTTTTTTTTTTTTAATCAAATCTATTATCAAGGATGTTAATGTAATCCCAGGTTGCCTTCTTAAGGAGCTAATGAAGGATCTATAACTTAGAGGCAAACTTCTCATTAAAGTAAGAATTGCTTCATCATTTGGAACTGCTGATCTTGCTGTCAACAATTGTTCCATATGTGCTCTAAAGGTATATATGTGTTTAATAACAATATCACCTTCTCTCATTTTTAAGGTGTATAATTTGTCTTTTAAATACATCTTAGTTACTGCATCATGTGATTCAAATATTTTTACTAATTCTTGCCATGCTGAATTTGTTGATGTACAAGATTGTATATGTGAAACAATATTGTTTTCTAGGCAATTATTAATTATAGTTAAAGATAAGGTATCCTTGTCTATCCATATGCTTATACTTCCTACTCCTGTGGTAGATAAAGCTGAGATTCCGGCAGCAATTTCAGCTTCCGTTGGTTCCACTGGTAAGAGTTCTTCACCACTTACTATGGGCCATAACTTTTCAGCCTTGAAAACTAATATTAGTCTATGTTTCCATATGTTAAAATATGAACCATCGAATTTTGGAACATGATTAATGTCCACTTTTTGTATCATCTTCAATATTCTTAATTTGAAATTGAATTGTAATTATTTATAAATTTGTTTTTGATCAATTCAATTTTATCTTTGCTTATGGTTTGTATGTTGCCATTTTCAGGTCTCGAACTGCTTTTCATGGTTTGATGAACTTCAAGTTCTTCATCAACCTTTGCTGTTATAATGAATTATATTGATATTATTTTTATTATAAACTATTTTTGTAATTTCAGCAATTATTTTCTTAATAAAGCATTCATCAAAGCTTATTCTGAGAATCGAATATTTCTATAGCTTTGATACCATGTTGAAAACGTCATTATTATTAATATGATCAATTGATACACAATATATATATTGTGTGTACCATGGTGACACCATGAGTCACAACTCTTAGTATAAGGTCAATATAGAGTAAATACTATTCCACACAAGAAACTAGTATATTATATAATATAATTCTCCCAATAAGAAGTGCAAGCTTCAATCAAGGTGAGCATTAGTGGCAGTGACTAGCTCAGTATAATCAACGTTAGTATACTCATTGAGTTGAGGAACACAGACCTTAAAGCATCCGACCAGGTAGTGTAGAGGGATTGAGTTCGGCTACAACATTCCATCATCAACACTCTCAACCTTCAGGACAATCTTTTTTTTTTCCTTTCAACCTTGAAGTCAATCTTTTTTCCCTCTTGAGCTAGGTTGCGGTATAGTTTTGGAACTAATATAGTGCGTAAGATCCAAGCTTGGTAGCAATTGCGGTGATTAGAGCTTGTTGGTAGAGTCAAAGTGAAGCTTGGCACCAATTGCATGGAGGCTCAGGGCGAAAATACACAACAGACATTATTGCTTTAGCACATGCAACAGCCAGCTGTAATTAAGGATTTACAGACTTAAAAAGATGTTGGTCAGTTTAGCTGCGATTCCTTCGATGTGCTACCACGATCGGAGCTGAACACTGCATCCAAAAGTCCATCGGTGAAGTTAGGATCATAAGTTAAGAAGATGGATCCTTTTTAGTTTATTTTTTATAGTGTATGCATTTGTGCTTGAGTAGTAGTTAGATAAGAAAAGTTGATAAGAAAATAGTTCAAGATTTACTTCCAAATTGGCAATTGCAAGTTGAATGGAAGGAATGTACATGAAGATTCATATAATCGACAAATTGTGAGATAAATTTATTATTGAATTCAACAAATGAGCTTTAAAAATACTTCCATTTCTTTGTTCTACTCAAGTTGGTCTTTACATGATAAACATGTATGAAGCTGCAACTTGGAAAAAGTTTTTAATGAAGATAGAATAATATTTGGAAAATTACAAAAAATATTCAACATCTCTAACTATTTTTTGGATCTTTCAATCTATAATAGTGTAGACTTTCTTAAAATCCATTGTAAAGCCATCATTTAAAATGATATGTCCAACAAAGTCAACTTGAGTAAAATTATGGAAAAAATCAAGATTATAAAAAAATTAATTTATTTGAGGATTATATTTTTTTAGCTACATTAATCTTAAAATAATTAGATTTAAATAATATTTCATCACATTAAATATTACTTGGATATTATGACTATTATTTATTATATTTAAATAGTTTCATAGATGATATCTCTAAAAAACAACAAATGACCATTTATTACTTCTATATGCAACTTGTAGTAGTAAGACTATTTGGATTTAGTTATAAACTTGATTTACTTGCTTCTCTTAGTTACATAACTTCTTGGTGTAGACTTTGGACTTCTTTGTTGATTTCTTTCATAAGTATAGGAACACTATTTCTATGATTGTTATTAGAGATACGTGAGATTTTCACCCTAAGAGTATTAATAAGCTTGTAAAGATCTGCAATAGTTGCAAATATATTCTCACTTCTATTAAGAGTAGCATCTATAATTTTCTTTCTATAGACAACTCAAATAAATCCAAAAATCAAATAAGAAGAGGATACTTTAGAACTTCTAATATCAAATGAAGATCTCTATAAAAATAAAATAAAAAGTAATCCACTCTCTTTTAAAAAAAACAATGTCAAAAAAGTAAATGTTAGTTCAAATGTAGGTAGTTTGCAACCTTCAAAATATAACAATAAAAGTGGTGTAGTCCACTCACTTTTATAAAAGAAATAAGAATAATGATTTAATACTCTTGTCAAACTATCAAGGACATGAATATTAAAAAACCAAAAAATTTAATACACTCTTACATAATTCAAAATAAGTAGATATTTATTCAAAACTGATTTAGTATTAACATTAGAATAGCTATTGCAAAACATAAGAAGATCAAAAAGTCTTGAAACAAGACTAAATATTAAAAAAGCATTGATAAGAGTAAAGAGGGCTTCATTCTTACCTCCATATATACTATCTAATTAGAAGCTACGTAGTGATGTTTTGTAAGACCTCCAACACATGTCTCACTTGCAAGACATGTGTCAAACTTATAAGACAAGTTTCTTGTATGTATTCCATATAATTAACTTGTTTCACAAGTTACTTGCAAGTACAAGATGTGGCTAAGTTATTAGCTAAGTTTCTAATCTAACAATTAACTACAAACACGTCTAAAATCAAATACGTATTAATAAAGCTTATGAGAAGATATGTTACAAGATAATATCAAATCTACCTATATTTACCTTCTATCTAGCACTTCTTATGTAGATAAATATGTATGTCCATGAAAAGAATCTATCAATCATCTTTGAAGAAAAAAAACAATCAAATTATTTAACAAATGAAATTTATAGCATCTTGGACTTCATTAATATGTGATTTTTGCTCTTCATAGAACTTCTCTCTAAAGGGGGAGATAATGTCATGGATATATATATTTATTTTAATAATTTTTTAGATAATATAGATAAATAAAAATAAATAAAAGTAGATTAATTTCATAATAACTTATAAAAAAGCTTTTTAGAAGCTTCATTGACACAGTTTCATCTTTATCTATAGATATTGGTAGGTCAAACACTTAGCCAACAAGTCAGCCACGTATTGCATGTGTTGATAGATTGTAGTATAAGCTAATGATGTGGCACATACATAAAAAACTTGACTTGCAAGTTAAAATACATATCTTACAAATTAGACACATGTTAAAGGTCTTGTAGATCATTGCCACATAGTGCCTAATTAGATAATGTAAATAGAAGCAAGAGTAAAGCTTTTTTCACTCTTGTCAATTCCTTTCTTATTTCTAATCTAATTCTAAGGGTGTCTAATTTTCTTATTTTTTTGGCAATAGCCATTCCATTTTCTTTTGAATATATATACTTTCTTATTTTTATTTTATTATTTTTTCTTGAAAAAAGTTTCATTTATTTATTTGCCTTCATCTAGTTCTTGTCCTTAACATTTTGTCTTAAGAAGCATGTGGAAAGAAGGTTTTTCCTAATGCATAGTGCATACAAAACATGGTCAATTTTTTGAATTATAGCTTGGGAAGCCGGATGGCAAAGTCACCAATGTAGGTTACACTGTGACAGTGACTGCAGGGGGAGGTAATTTTTGATCCAGCACTAGCATGAAGGGAAGAGAAAACAGTTGGATCTCCTTTTACATGATCCAAAGTTTAGGTACCATGGAGATGGGGACGAAGGGGATTCAGCTATGTTAACACCAGCAAAGCACGCGTCTACCATAGCAGTGGCGTCTTCATTGCGGATGTTACTCTCGGGATGATCAGCTTTGAGTGTATTGACTTGACCTGCTGAATGTTTATCACGTTGGACAGGTCATAACCGGGACTCCAGGGATCGAAGTTGCTCCATCATGCTCCGGATTGTCTTCTCTGTGTGTATTTGCGAGTTGAGGCTGAGGACGCCCGGGTTGTCGGCATTGAAACTTTGAGATTAGTGATTGGTAGGAGTGTATCCGCCTTCAGAGCTGGGTTGGGTAGGGTACTGTCCTCCCAAATGTGAAGCTCGTTGATGCTGATAAGGAGGACTAGGGTGGGAGCCGGGAACGAAGTGGTGGCGCTTGTTTGGTTGGGGATGTGTGGTTCAGGTAAAAGGGCGCCGAGAGTTATTAATTTAAGGAGCTGGAACTTCAGGGTGATTTTAAACAGGTTTTTGAACTCGTCTTGATGGCTCTTTAGTAAGGAATCGCATCTCGAGTTCAGCATAGGTGGATAGCTTGGGATTACCCAAGATCATCTGTTTAGTGATATCGTAGTCGTGTGGGAGATTAGAGATCGTATACCACACCACGACCGCTTTGGGGAGAGGGACGCCGATATCTTCAAAGGTGTGGGCGGTCTCCATCTCCGTCAAGTATTCGTCCATGGTGATGTTACTTGTCTTTCTAATGTTATTTTATTTATTTTTTTTTCAATCAGATGCACTTTGCGAGGATTGTTGTTTGTTATGTACCTGGTTTTCAGATGAGTCAAGCACTCATACGGATCTGAAAAACGTTTCATGATCCGGAGGGCAGTATGCTTGGCGTTGTTGTTGAGAATACTAAAAGCGTCTCACGACCTTTTTCTTCAGCCGTGGATAGTGGTGATGTAGAAGCTGGAGTGGTACACCATTTGTATAAGCCGACTCGCTTGAGCACATTCTTGATCACAAATGGCCACATGCCAGTGAGGTGATACGACTCCGGAAGTGTGTTCATGCCTTGTGGTGAGCTCGAGGACATAGTACTGGAAGCTCGATGTTGTGGAGGGGAAGAGGTGCAATCACTACTTCTACCATGACGTGCATTGCTAATAGTTAATTCAGAGTCTGACCCTGAGTTCGACACGCTCTACCGTAAAAAGTGGATCTTGCCACTACTCACAGTCGTGACACTGATACCATGTAGAACACTGCATACAGAAGAGATCATGTAAAACACTGTGCAGACAGAAGAGATCATGTAAAACACTGCAGACAGAGACACTGTACCCGAAGACTAGAGGGAACAATCAGTTCATTGAACAAAGAGAAAACAGTCGAGCTAAGTACTACGATGGGAACTAAAAGAGTCTCTAGTGTTTGATCAGAGAACGTCGTTCTCGCAATAGGGAACGAGATTGTAGCCGCAAAGGGGTGTCAACCTTAAGGGTGAGAGCAACTGCTCACAGCAGCAACCATAACGGGGCAATTAGGACCATGAATTCTACAATGGCGCACAGGATGAAACCACTGCAATAGATTTTAAACCAACATCAACCTGCAATTGAGCACCACAACACAAAAAGTGAACAAGGAGGCAACAACACCACCGCCTCTAATCGCATCTTGAAGAGCTCCCAACAGAAAAGTGCACCACAGACGCCTATACCGCAATTAAGCCGTCACTCAAAATAACACTATCCTAACGAGAGCAAGAGGAAGATGACACCAATGAGCACAGAGTCGAAATTCGAGAGTGTGAGGCGAGAGTAAGAACGGGAATTCAAGTGGGCAATGAAATTCAAGACCACATCCTCAATGAAAGGTTTGATTGCTACGACGAATGTTCATTGGCAACAACAGAGCCCGACTGTTTACACCCCAGGCCATGTGAAAGGATGTTTGAGGATTGCCATCCGCATGGGGATGAGAGAGATGGCAGTTGACAAGTGACGAAGGGGTTAGCGGAGTTCTGAAAAGACTGCTGCTCTCCAACTGCCGTGGAATTCTTTTCAACTGGACTGGACTGATCCCATCCTTGCTTTCATGTCCACTAGAACTGCCTTGGAGCTGCTCCACAGATCATGAATCACTTCTTGATTTCATTCTACTCAATATTTTTACTCTAGTCACGAGTTGAACTCATCTCAATCTCATTCACGAGATTTGAATCATGATCGAAATCAGGACAGAGCGTGTAGCTTTGATTGGAACTCGGGTTACGGAGAATGATTGAGTTGTAGGATCTTTTTGAATTGATCAGATATCCGTGTTTTGAAATTGTGGGTATCTTTGCTTGTTAATAAGCAAATAACCATCAAACCTCAAGTTGCAGCCATGGCTGAAAATCCAGAATCGCTACCGGCTGACGACACTGCTGCTGCTACCCCTCCTCCTCCTCCTCTTCCGGATCCTGCTCCAGCCAACCCAGCATCGGAGGTACTATACGACGTCGCCGAAATGAAGTGGCTCTTGGGACTGCGATTTTATTTTACCACAATTCACTGCATTTCCTGCCCATCGGGTGCCCTTGACATCCCAATAAATGAATATGCATGGATTAGACATGTTTCTGTATTTGGGTAGAGATAATAGCAGAAACTTTGCTCGCCCTTCCATAAACCCTAGGAAGCCATATTTTCTCCTCTAAAATCACATTGAACTACGCTTACACCTGATAAGTAGCACCGATGACGCCTTTCTCATCTGCTTCCAAATGTCGTGTTAAGCGAAGTAGCGGGTCTGCAGGTCTTATTTGGGAGGGGTAGATTGTTTTATGGAGAACTTTTAGGGGCCAAGATTAGCTTCTGAAACTTGATTTGGATTGAACAATTTTCTGTAACCAACAGCTGAAGGAAACTCTCATGAGAACTGGGATTTTCCTCTTAAACCCAGCAATGTTCCTCTGAAGGAAATGTGCGCAGGGAGACCCAGGAGCTGTGAATTCAGCAGAAGCTGTCGGACTGCCTGCAGCAGCGTCAGCGGAGCAACCAGCACCACTGAAGGAGTTAATTCTAGAGGAGAAGGGGAAATTAAGAAAGGAGCGGTTTCGAGTAGAAAAAAAAGTAAAGGAGCGGATTCGATTAGAAGACGAGGCAGAATTAAAGCGGCTTCGATTAGAGGACGAACGAACTCGATTGAAAGAAAAGGTAGAGTTCGAGCGGATTCAATTAGAAGAAGAACGGATCCGGTTAGAGGAAGAACGAACTCGCTTTGATGAAGAGGCCGAACTCGAGCGAATTGGCTTAGAAGCAGGCCAGAGGAAGTTGGAACAAGAGGAGCAGGCGAGGATGGAAGCATCTCGCTTGCGTGTAATAATTGAGGTGAGGATCACTTTCTGATCACCACCGCCGCAATGTACTTACCTTTTTTTTGCCCAATCAATTCTTTAATTTTATCTCGTTAATAATTACAGAAATGACCCCATGAATTGTGAACAAAGATAGCTCTTTTCAAGTTCTTCGTCGCTACCTTCACATAGCTAACTCGTTAATCAACTAAAATGATGTCTGCCTCTCGTTCTCCATAATTTGGTGCGTTATGTTCTATGATTCATGTGTTTTTTCTTCTGGCTCTACGAAATTGCTTCGCATTATAACACAGGCGACAATTGAAGAAGTGGTGGGTCTGAAACACGAGAATGCGGAGCTTCAAAGGCGGATAGTCAATCTGCAAAAGAGGAGAAAGTCTGTCCATGCGGACCAGTTTATACTGGAAGGCCAAGACACGTTTTACAAATCTGTAAATTCTCCGTCGATCTGTCCCTGTTTTTCCTGCCTTCTATCTCATAAACCCGAGGTTTCGTCTTGATCTTCTTTTCCATTGGGGTAGGAAGCACTTAGGAATTGAAGACAGGTGATTCACGCTCAGAGGGTTGATAACCAGTCTTCAAAGAAGATAGCACTAAATAGTTGAAATTCAAACAACTCCCGGTCGAAGCCGGCGAACTAGTACTCATTACGTTGTCTTAAAATGTTCTTGCTTTGCTTTCTTTTGTTCCTATAATAGTGCCTGACCGACTGGGCAGAGACGAGATGTGAATTCAACAAGATAAAACACATATATGACAAGAAGATTGACAGTCTGCGTGGGGGGCTTCAAAAAAAGCAGTATGAAGCGAGTGCTAGGTTCGAGGGAATTATTCATTATATATACAAGGTTGGTTGTATCTTGCTGCAGATATCTCTGCGACTACCCTATGAGACTCGTCCTATTTTTTTGTCGGCTAGTACATTTTTCTATAGTAGCACAAGGTCTTGGATCACCTAAATGTCAAAGGATTGGTACCTTTGAACTGTAACAAGTACCATGATTTGTGGAGTTCCTGCTCGGTCGCAGATAGCCAGATTCTCTGCGGACATCATCTCCAGGAAGGGTATACCAAGACATGTGCTCCAAGAGGTAAATTTTAAGTTCATGATTTCGAACAATACCTATGAGACGCAACTTTAAGTGAAGTCAGTGATATTGACCCTCATTCTGGCTGCACCCAATCAGAGCAGTAGTTTTCATTTATGTGAAGAAGAGCTGCACAAGACACAAGGATACATTGCCTGTAGGTTAATACTGGAACACTCAGGCTTGCAGTCATCTTTTATTCATGGAGGGTAATCGAATTTACATAATATGCATGTCCATGCCATGCACATTTTTGTCAACCCAAGCCGACGTTGCACAAATGCATGGTGACACTTGGAGACCATTTGACCTGCAACCTGGTTTGTTGTGTGATCAGTTGGAACTTGAGGAGCGGGACACTCTCATGGAAATGCAAATCGTTCGAACCCGGGGACGTCAGCTAAAATGCCAGCTAGAGAAACTCAAGAACACACTGGCACTCAAGGACCAACTCCAACTGGGCAGTGGAAACCTGCACTTGGTGGACTATGAGCAACTGCAAATGGAAAACGAGTTACTCAATGAGAAGGTTAGTTTACAATCTGTTTTTGGCAAGTGTCACTAGTTTTGTTGCCATACATTTCACTTAAAGTGGGCCCAATTTTAGTCAAAAGTCATCCAATTCAACTTTTTCGGACATGCGACCCAAATTGCACACTTAGACATGGTAAACACGGAAAAAATTGGCTACGCTGTTGTAATTTGTCCTGAGAACATCCTGAAATAATTTTAGCTCGTGAATTAAGGGTGCTCTTTGACGCAGTTTCATCTGAAAAAAAAGGCTTTGTCGGCCTTGAGGAAGAAAAGAACCCAGTCTGTGCACTTACTCCAACACATTAGAGAAAAGCTTCATTTCCTTGTTACTGAATGTAAGGTACCAAACTAAATACCAAATTCATTTTTATGGTAGATCATTTGAGATATGGTTCTCAAAACAACAGATAAAAAATCAACTATTATTCTTTCAAGAGTACTTAGAATCTTTGTCTTTTTTTGTGTGTGTGTTTTTTGCACTTTCTTTTGTGTGTTTTTCAGGAAAAAAGAGAACAATTAGCAAGGGATGAAATTACTTTGCATGAAGGACGTATGAAGTTCTCATCTGTGAAGTCTTCAATTTTGGCTGAAAATCGTAAGGGGGAGGCTGAGCAGGTCACTTCACAACTAAATGATTCATGCAGTCTACGGGTATCAAATAGAAATATTTATCGTCCATGTTGAGAGGCTGTTTGGGTTCTGTACTGTAGACTTTCAGTGCCTCCCAATGACAATTTCGTCAGTGTGCAGAAAAACATTGTATACATCAAGTCCTCAATAATAATGGACGACATGAACAATGTAAGAGAGGATCTCGAAGAAGAAGAAAAGAATTTCGAAGATCTTAATTATCTCCATCATGACTTGACTGTCAAAATTCAACGGTATAAAAATAGGCTTCGCGCTTTCAGGGTGTTGAAACCGCATACTGCCAGAGCCTTCATCGGAGCTAGACCACGAACTCCGTGCAGATGGGGCAATAGACGTGAGGTTCTAGGCCATGCAGTGATTCAAAATAAGATACGTGTGATGACCAAACAGTCGGCTGCTAAGAGGTTAATGGTCCCCTGATTGATATAGAGAGCACAAATGTGCAAAAGCGTTGGTATTTGCAATGAGGTGATAGAACAGTAGCAACTTATAGCTGCCCCTGAGAACAGCTCAGTTTGTCAAGTAATTCGCACCGTTGAAACATCTTCAATCCACACATCAACACCTCTTTAACATCACATTCTCAAGTGAGGTAATGCGAAGTGTATTGACTTAATGGTAAAGACAGCTATAAAAGGATACAAAACAGTTGAGAAAAGGAAATTGGAATTTTTAACGGTTGAGAAAGAGAGCTTAATAGACCCTCCATAAATCCAATTGCAAGAGTTAAGAACCAAGGTGTTGATTATAAAATAAGGTCTTTGAAAGCTGTTTCTTCTTCCCCCTTTCATCAAAAACCCAAAAAGTCAACTGAATAATGGTGAAAATGTCAAAACATAAGCACAGAAGCAAGAAATATGCGTAAGGAACAACTGTCCATGCTAAAGAAAGCAGTTCTGAAGATGAACCAAATCATTCTAGAACAGAACGTTTCTCTTGTTATTCTATTGGTTAAATCACCACTGTCTACCTACCAAAAGGGAATACTATAGAAACTGACAGAATATGCGAACCTCCTAAACCTGAAACTCATTTCCGGTCACTAGGACCAGCAGGATCGCTTGAAAACATGTGCTTCACGCGTGACAAGATTGAATCTTGACTTGGGTCATAGGGATGATCTTTGGATGGGATTTCAAGGATCGCTGGAAGTGGTTTTGAATAACTATCAATCATGAAGCGAATCATGTTGGCAATCTAAACAAGAGCAGAGCGAGAGTATTAGCAAATAGTAAAAGGTGTGATATAACAAATTTTCAGTGCCAGATAAAATCAGGCGTACAAGAAAATACGAGCGAAAAACTGACTGAATGCAGCAGTAGGTGAAGGGATGGCACAAGAGAAACTCACATATTGACTTATGAGAACAATCGCAACATCTTCACGAGTTGTGAATTCCTTAAACGAGTCCTCGATTTGCTTAACCGTGGTCTCTGTTAAACGAACCTCACAATGTCATTACAAATATACTATACTACACCAATCCTCTTTGTAAAAATCTCAACCGAAGGTGTCCTCTAAATTAGGCAACTTGGAATTGTGATCATGAGAGTATAATCAGCGTAAACAGACAATGAGCATTAGTTACGTGTAAAAGAGAAGAACACGCTAAAATGAAAATGTGTGAAAAGATAACACTTACTATTGTCCACTACTAGATAGTTGGTTTTCCGTCGTAGATCCACATTGCCAACTCCAGCTAGCAAAAATCCAGTCACTGTATCCTGTCAAAGCAATCCATCCCAAACACCTCAAATCCTGACCTCGCCAGATCTATCAAAACAATGGATTGACACCTGACGCCTGTGCACTCAGGAAAATTAAAAATCTGGTCAGTCAGAATAGCTCTTTCTTCACTATGCAAGAAGTACTGTACCAATGGTAACTTGAAACTGGCACCCTGAACCCCACCAACTACGCTTACTAACTCACTACAAATTCATCCCCTAAGACAAAAATAAAAGGCTAGTCCCAAACGAAGGGGAACACTAAATTTTGTTACAGCCCTGATCAAAGCTGAAACTAAGGCAAAACTCGAGACGTTAAGATACGTCCAGACTCATGAAACCCTAATTCTGCTTCCAATCCCAGCAGGTGCAGAACAATAGGCGAAAAAAGCCTCTGAACCTACGTCACAAAATGCAAAGCAACACCAGAAACTGACAGCCTCTACCACATACACCTCAATCCTGGCTATTCCATCCCCTCTGCACAACCCACCGGATGAAACCCTAATTCCAACAAAAGCTCCAACTAACACCACAAAAAAAAAATCAGCAGATAGCAAGGATTGGGGCAATCGAATAGAGACAAGCAGACGATTGCCACACACCTCATCGGCGATGATAGCGATGAGCGATGAACCCCGCGAACTCGCTTGCACAGCAACTCCTGCCATTACTAATTGATCCCCAAACTAAGCTCGAAATGAAAGATTCTCCTCACAGCGCCGCGCACAATACTGGTATTGAATGTAATGTACACAACTCACGTCATGAACTTCCACAACCGACAGCTCTCAAATTGAAAAACAAAACAGAAAAAATAAGCAATAGATCAAAGAGCTCTTTCTACGAGGGGTCTCAAACAATATAACACTGCACTTTCAGTCCCGAAGATAAATGTGTGGATGAATGAATGCGATCACCCGTTGTGGATAAATGAATGAGGATTCCCGTTGTAGATGAATAACACACCCACTTGTCTGGTTCATTGATGGGGTTGGTGTAAAGTTGGGTTCATTTTGTGTGATTTTGAGGGGTAAAGTAAGTTGATGCATATGTGATTTTATTATTATCGTTATAATTTTGATTGGAAGCTTCACACCAGTATTTATATTAATAATTAAAGGGTAATTTTAAAATTTTAAAAACATGTTTAAGGATTCAAACAAGTAGGATTATTTATCTTAAATATCAAGTAAATCTAACATTCTTTTATTTCTTAAGTTAGTCAATGACAAAAAAATGAAAATAAAATAGCTGTGGCTATTCCTTTAGAAATTTATTTAGCAAGTATTATAACTTATAGGAATATAAAGCTATTATTACCATTTGAATTAAAATCACTTGCTAAATTTAATATAATATTATTAAAATAATATTATTTATTTAAGGATATAAATTTTACAAAAAATATTATATCTTATTTGATATTATATTTCTTATCAAAAAATATTATATCTTATTTATAAAATAAAATGGTTTATGGAATGAATAATTTTAAATTACTAGTTTATATTGACAATTAAAAAATATGATTTTAATATCTTTAATATAAAAAAGAATAAAAAAATACAATATATTATATTTTGATAACAAAACAATGATATAATGGGTAATAGAATTTGAAAACTTTCAAAAATTGATAGTAGAAATAACAATATATATATATATATATATATATATATATATCAAAGAAATCCACTTTTTTTTTATTAAATTGATCCATTCTATCTTAACCATCATTAAAAAAATGATAGTTTTCAACCCTTGCTTATTCTCAATCATTGCTCAATTATTTTTCAAGCTTTCATCTCTATATTTCTTATTCCAAACTCATTCTTCTTTTGTTTCTACAACTCTCATCTTGACAATCTAATTCTCAAGCTAAGCTTCATCTTTACAACTATTAAAAATGACATTGTCATAAAAAAAAAATATATATATATATATATATATATATATATAAAAATAAGAAGTATTAGATAGAAAGTAAATGTATGTAGATTTGATATTATCTTATGAAAAAGCTTCTTAAAAGCTTCATAGACACATATTTAATTTAAAATTTATTTGTAGTTAATTAATGGATTAACAACTTAGCCAACAAGTTAGCCACATGTTGCACGTATTAGTAGCATGTGGAACAAGATAACTATGTCGCATACATATAAGAAACTTCTCTTATAAGTTAGACACATGTCTTCCAAGTAGGACACATATTGGAAATCATATAGAATATTGCCACATAGCTTTTAGTTAAATAATATATATGGAGGTGAGAATGAAGCCTTCTTCACTTTTTTCAACATCTTTTTAATCCTTAATCGTATTTCAAGACTTTCTAATCTTCTTGTTTTATGCAATAGCCATATTAATACCAATACTATATTAATTTTGAAAGAATATCTACTTGTTTTGAGTTATACAAGAATGTATTGAATTTTTAATAAGCCTTCTTCACTTCATGTCCTTAATAGTTTGATAAGAGTACTAATTCAATCTTCTTGTCTTATTTTTAGAAGTGAGTGGACTATGCCACTTCTATTATTGTATTTTAAAGGTTAAAGATTATTCATCTTTGAACTAACATTTATTTTTTTAACATTATCTTTTTTTAAAGAAAGTAGATTATCTTTCTTTGTAGAGATTTTCATTTAATATTAGAGGTTGCAGATTATCCTCTTCTAATTTAACTTTTGGATTTTTTTGCATTGTCTATGGAAGAAAACATTATAGATGCTACTCTTAATAGAAGCAAGAATAAATTTGCAACTATTATAAATCTTCACAACCTTGTCAACACTCTTAGAGTAAAAAGCTCGCATATATCTAATAATAATCATAGAGGTAGTATTCCTATGCCTATAAAAGAAATAAACAATGAAGTCCAATGTCTATACTAAGAAATTACAAAATTGAGAGAAGCAAGTAGATCAAGTTTATAGCTAAATTCAAAGAATCTTGTTATTTTAAGTATAAAACAAACAAAGATATATATATGCAAGAGAAATTTGATGGAACAAAATCAAAGTACCAAGGGTTTTTATAACAAGTAAAGCTTTATTTGAGGTTGCATGCTTCTCAATGCTTTATTAGATTTATTTAAGTTGGATTCATAAGTATACTTATCTTTAGAAGTATTCTCTTTTAATTTGTACCTTTAATAAAAAAGAATTCACAATTATTCTATAATTTAAATTCATTCTTAGAAGTCTTTATAGATACATTTGAAAAAAATAATAAAAAAAAATAGTAGAAATCAAACTCAAATCTTTATAATAAAGATCATATTCAGCCATCATATTTGTTGTTAAATTCTAAAACCTTGCTTGTAACTTGGATTAAAATGACAAAGCCATTATCAATCAATTTTGATTGAAATTAAAAGATAACATCAAAGATTACTCTTGACAATGCCACAAGCAGATTCATTTGAGCAATTTATTGTTCAGGCCATTGCATGTGACAATCAATTCTTTGGAAGATGCCAAGTATAAAATTTTTATTGAAGAGATAAAAATCAAGATATAATGACATGTCATAGATATACATATTTATTCCAATTATTACCTATATAATTAATTAAAAGTAGATAAAAGTAGATTAATTTTATAATATCTTTTTGAAAAGCTTCTTAAAAACTTTATAGATGCTACTTTGACTTTACACTTATTTATAGGTTAGAAATTTGATAAATAAATTAGCCACGTATTATACATATTGATAATTTGTGGAACAAGCTAACTATGTGGTATATATATAAAAAACTTATCTTATAAGTTAAGACATGTGACTAAAAAAGTCAACACGTCTTGAAAGTCCTATAAAACATCACCACATAGTTCCTTGTTAGATAGTATATATAGAAGCAAGAGTGAAGATCTCTTCACTCTTGTCAATACCTTTCTTATTTTTAGTCTAGTTTCAAGAGTTTACACTCTTATATTTGGCAATAGCCATTTCAACTTAATATTATACTAATTTTGAATGATTCTATAGTCATTTTGAGTGACACAAGGATGTATTCATCATTTAATTCTTTGAGATTCATGTCCTTAAAAGTTTGACAAGAGTATTAATTCATTGTTCTTATCTTGTTATAAAAGTGAATAGATTACTTCACTTCTATTATTGTATTTTGAAGATTGCAATGTTGTGATGTACTTAATTTAAGTGCATCAAAGATATTTAAAAGATAATTAGTTTTACTCGTAAAGAAGGAGGAATATAGTATTAATATATTTATAAATTTGAACTAAATTTAGAATATGAGATTATTATCTTGAATGGATAGTTTAAGCTTTGAAGGTATTGTCTTTTAGGATACATACTCGATTCTATGGTGGTTTAAGGAAAATATTGAGAGAAGATTAAGATAGAGGTTTTGGCATGAAAAGGGGTTTTTTTTTTTTTTTTTTTTTTTTTTTTTTTTTTCCTTAGATAAGAGTGTGTAAGAGGGAAATGCTAAAGTTTTGGAAAACAGGATTTAAGACTAATTTGAGGTTTTCTATGCCATTTATTATATTTTTATATTTTTATTTTGAGATTTTGATGAAAGCTAGAATTTATTAATAGCTTTTCAATAAGCTTTAGCATAGAAAAAAAAAAAACTATGATAAGAAAGATTCATGAAAATTTACAAGAAGGAAGTTACTAGAATTTTTAGGCAGTAAGATTCAATTTGATTTGGATATTTTTATGCCTTTTATTAGATTTTTATTATTTTATTTTGAAATTTTGAAGAAAGTTAGATCTTACTATTAACTTTCTAATAAGCCATTATGAGCGAGAAGAAGAATTGTGATAAGAGAGGTCTAAGCTAATTTATTGACAAGGATTTTGAGGGCTTTAGCTACAATAAATGATCAACCTCTTTCTTGGTTTGGCTTTGATTTTCTCAAAATTTTGTTTATTAACTTTAAGAATTTAAAGTTTATATCTTGAATTAAACTTAATGAGCTAAATTTTTCTTAAATTGGATTAGTAATAAGTAATTTATAGGTATTTTAGTCAAAGAAGGTTTAGGTTTGAGATTAGAATTAAAGGTTGGATATATCTTGGTACAAGAGAGAAATTAATTTAAAATTTGTACTTAGCCTTTAAACTACCTTTTTATATTTGAGTTCATTTAGGCAATATTATACTTCTTATAATCCACTTACAATTAAGGATCTCATCTTTTTCTAAAGAAGCTTTTCTCAGGATATAAATTTGGTACTTCTAATAAGAGCATCTCTAAGGCAATTAAAAATATAAATAGATCACAATGGAGTTATAAGGCTATGGTATAAGCTAGAAGCATGAAGAGTAATTTAAGAATTAAAAGAGAGAAATGAGAGATTTTTGACATTTGAAGATGATGGATGATTTTAGAAGGGCCATTGCAAATTTGTTGTAGAAAAGTAAGTGCCAATAATTTGGTTTTGATTTTAAATATATTCCTTGAGAGACAACAAAAAAATACAAGTAAGTAAGAAGAGGGTGACTAAAGCATTGCAAGATGTGATCAACAACCATAGGAGATTTGATGGAAGGATCATCACCAAGTTTGTCTAAACATATATAGGTGTCAAGGACATGAACTGAAAAAGGATGCATAAATTTGAGAAATTTGTGTCAAAAAAAAATTAAAAAAATAGAAATAAAGAAGTATGTATATTAAAAGGAAATTGGAATGGCTATTATCAAAAGACAAGGAAATTAGAGACTCTTGAATCTAGACTAGAAGCAAGAAAAGAATTAACAAGAGTGAAGAAGGCTTCAATCTTGCCACTATATGTATTATCTACCTAAGATTTATGTGGTGATATTCTATAGGACCTCCAAAAAGTGATTGCTTCTATTTCAACAAAAAATATATATCATATTAT